TCTCAGATTTCAAAAATATTTTTGATCAAATCAGAAAGTAAACTGGAAATCATTAGCTTGCCTGTTCTTTATTTAAATGGCCTGTTACAAATACTTTATTAAAGGAGTTGTAGGTAATCGAGAGCACCCAGAAAGTGGATTTAAGACCAATTATCCATTGGTAGTGTATCTCAGGTACTACGGCCTGTCGCAATAGGTCCAATGGATATCCTCATGGACTTAATTAGTATTAGTTTCCCCGTCGAGTGACCAATTCCGGACATTTAGAACAAGGGCTTACTATTTTTGTCCATAAACAGTTTCATATACAATGTGATCCGATGTTTCATCGTGAACCAAGCATACCAAAAAAAGCATCGCAAACAAATCCAGAACAGCAATATTTTACTATTCTTTTTGAATTACTAGAAAACAAAAGTTGGAGCGAAATCGTCTGTTTGAGCAGAAGCCAAGGAATTGAATTTCTTTCCTTTGCCAAGGTTTGCCTTTGGACAACGAAAACTGATTAGGGCACCCGCTTGCTATATATGGAGTAGTGAACCCGACCAAGCGATAGGCGGAGTATAAAAGAAATTAAACTTTAGAAAAATTAAAATGTTCCAAATTAATGCTCCTGTAAAGTTCAAACAGAAGCTGCAAAACGATTACGAATTTTTGACAAGGAGGTGCTCATGGCTGACCATCGGTAAAGCCCTGCCTTGTACCACAGAGGCTATTCTGCACTTTGGTTCTAGTCCAACAAATAATTTGACAATTCCAAAATCAAGTTGCCCTTCGTGCCCAGAATATGTTGGTAGACTGCTCATTAAGCAGCATGTAATTGTAGTTCAATTCAACCCTCGTTTGGAGCTGCAACAGGCGGTAATTCCAAAGAAAAGTAATTACGCACTCCCAGTAACAAAAGATTTTTGGCTTGTAATGAACGATAATGTGTTGCTATTTGTTGATCATTCTCGACCACTTTACAGGAGGCTCCTAAAATTAAAGCCAATGGACATCAACTTTGCATATAATCCAGCATATAGACTAGTTGGCAAGCACAACGGTAGGCAGATCACCCTAGATTTAAATAGCGGGACTGTAACATTGGACATAGAATGGCCACTTTCTACATGTAATACCAGTATTCTCTACTTTAGAGATAGGACCTCTGGTGTTTGTAGTTATAAATCTGGTAGAAGAGTGCTGGTTGAATATATTGATGAACACACGTTTATGGTTGATTTCAACTATGCTGACCATACATTTGATGCTTATGTTGGTTGTATGCAGGAGGCGAAAAACTATATACCTGAATATATCTTGGCTGGCGAACGATTGTGGAATTATCAATACAGCAATGCTAATTCCGAAACTGAATAAATTTTGTGTATTTCTTGAACATTCAGCAAAAGTTGTCTGATCCAAAAACTATTTTTAAAAAAGCCCGACGTGGGGGTCGAACCCACAACCTTGAGATTAAGAGTCTCACGCTCTACCGATTGAGCTAGCCGGG